ATTAACAATAATTTAAAAGCATTAACAATAATTTAAAAACATTAAAGAAAAAAAAACTAAGAATACATTTTATATTAATGAGTTGGTCAAGCTTGCTATGTATCCTTAATTAATATATAAATATGTAGTAAAACAATCTCTCCAATTATTTTATGTTTATTAAATTAATATATTTATTATCATTTTCCATTACATGTATATTAAATCAAAAAAAGAGGAAAAGACATATCTTTTAATTTTTCCTTTCATGAAAAGTTCACTAGATAATAAACATATTTAAATCTTCATATCATAAAAATTCTCATTATTATCATTAATTTTCTAATATTAATGCCTGCCTCTTCAAATTCTCTTCCTAGTATTTATAATCCATTGATTTCTTTTTAAAGCAGTATTGATAAAAAAAAATAAAAAGAAACAAGGAGTATGGTGACCAAATAGATATACAAGTGCAAGTGCTTTATGCAATGAGAATGGCAATGTGAGGTGCATTGCATCTTAGGGAAGCAGCAAACTACTGTCCATATTACATTGCTTGAGATTTTACCATTTAGAAAAAGGTTTTAATGTATTTAGGAATACACCTAACTTGATATATGAGCATCTTAAAAATGATTTGTAGGAGTATCTAGACTTACAGTCTCTAAATTCATTGGTACTAAGCACTCCTCACTATAGAAATAATTTTTTTTTCCTCTTGATTTTTTTTTTTTGTTTCTTAATTGAAATTCCTCTCTATTATTATTATTGACAAAAAATTTGTAATTCATTGAATCTATTAATAAATCAATTGTGTTTGCAATGATACCTAATTTTTATTCTCTTGATTTTCTTTTTGGGTCAACTCATACTTTTGATTATTTTTACTAGATTTTATTTGTTCTTGAAGTTCCTAACAATTTTTTCTTATAATTTATTAAATCTATTATCAAGTCACTCTATTTTTAAAGATAAATTGTTAATTTTTACTATTGATTATTTTCATTGAATTTTATTTTGTTTCCTAAAGTTCCTAATAATTCTTTTTTTTAGTGATTAACTGTTTGAGGATATAAATTATTATCTTATTAGTATTCGAATTTTAGTTTTTGTAATGTTATTTTTATCGAATTTTTTATTCATATTTCATTTTTTGTTTTTCACTTGAGAGTCCTAGGCTTTGTTTTTTTTTTTTGATATGAAGTCCTAGGCTTTGTTTGCTAAAGTTTCATGCAAGCCTTTTTCTTATAACACTTT